CTACATAGTTGGAGCTATTCTGCATTGCTGTATAATCATTATATATCAATGCAGAATACCAGCAGCTATGCGGTCCCAGCAATACATTATAATAGTCAGCACTACAGAATCCCACTACAACCCCCCCACGCCCCACACACACACACACACTTTCCCGCGCATTATATTTCATAATTCACTAATAACAATATATTTCATAATTCACTATATAAATAATGTATTCAAATCTTTATCTGATTAAATGATTACCATGCATTTAAGCAGACATGTAGATATCTGTGAATCAAGCAGAAGTTTTTAGGAACATAAATTTAAGGAAGTAAAATGTACCCTTTTTCTATCTTGACACCCTCCTCATTTTTGAATTTGGATTCTTCTGTTTCAGGATAAACCAACTTGGAGAGAGCGAGAGCACAAGGCGCAGCCATGACAGATGCAGCAATTAGTGAGGATGCATCAATCTGAAATAATAATAATTCATTTGAGGTCACCATATCAGCAACTGGAATTTCTCTTGTGTTCAAGATAACCTGTATGTTAAAAGTTTTATGCCTAAAGTAATATTACATTCAAAAGGTTTTTAAAGAAGAACTCCAGGATTTATTAAAGGAGATCTATGAGGTGAGTGCTTTACACTCATCATCATAGTAAGAGCCGACGTGCGACATTGAAACTGTCACACATCGACTCGATAGATCGGGAAGTGAGCGAATATATACTGTCGCTCGCTGACTTCCCGATCATCTCCCTGCAGAGAGCGGTGACTGTCAGTCATCGCTCCCCACAGGGATTCCCCCCTCCCCTCTCCAATCCTCCAGCGCTGACTGGAGGAACGGCAGGGGAGGAGGGGGGCACAGCTGGCTCTGCCTCTAGATAGGCGGAGCCAGCTGTCAATCAGCCAGCTGGGTGAATCTCGACAGTATTGTCAGGATCCGCCTGGCTTTGGCGCTCTCAGTAACAGTAAGTTAATATGTTGATCCAAGCGTAGCACCCGTGGTGATTATTATGTTGTAAATAATAAAAATAAGAAATCAAAAAATATGTTAAATAGTAGGTAATAAAATGTGGTGATTATAATCTAATGTGACGCTGAACTCCGTGAGTAATAAACTTCAATCTTTGTAAATAATTGATTCTTTGTGTGTGTCTCCTTTCAGTGTTATAATGGGTTCTACCCAAATAAAATAAGTTAACCACTATGTGTGTTTAAAACACATCACACTAGGGGGTGTGAACTTATGAATGAAGTGTGCAAAATAGTTGGTTATTTTTGCATAAAAAGAGAAAAAAAATGTACTCCAAAAGTGGTTGAATAAAAGGTGATATCTTTAGCATACTATAATGTGAATTATTTAAACAGTTGTAGTTATTCTAATTGCTTTCCCGTGGCTACAACATATATTCAGTGCAGCGTGTATCAATGTGACAAACAATATGGCAAATAAACCATTAAATGTAACAATATGGCAATTAGACCATTAACTGTAACGAAAGTGCAACATGCCTAACAGGTTAAACTGGTATAGTCACATACACGGGGATCAGCTATGGGGATCAGTCTAGCAGCCAGGAGGGACCTAGGACCAGGTGGCATTTCTTCATTACTTTCATCCTTAGACCAAAAGGAGCACTAACCCTTGCAGTGCAGGGGTAGCCCCAGTGCAAGGGTTAATTTTGAGAAATCTTCATTTAAGCTATTGCAAATTTGAAATCACTTACAATGGATGCTGCTCCTTGATGTTTAAAAGTTTAACTTTCCTCTTGAATCAGCTGGTCCCCTGAGCACTGGTCCTGGTATCCTGTTTTAGGGAAGCACTTTTCCCTTTCAGGGTCCTATGGAGCCACCCTTGTTTGTGTTAGTAAGCTGTGTGTGTGTCCACAAACACGCAGACACAGCAAGGCAAACCACTCCCCTGCTTCCCACTCCTTCCTTCTTCCTTCCTTCTCCAGGCTAGTAGATGGACAGCTGCTGGAGACTGCTCTGTCCCTTGTAATCTTGTACAGGACAGGAAGTTCAGGGAACCCGAGCTTAGAGAGTTGGAGCCAGCTTTTGGGATACATGATGACTGTAAGCGCTCGGGCAAAAATGTAAAGAAATACTTTACTGGGCGATCTATATTTGTTTGATCTGGATTTTTATTAAAAAATGTTTGAGAGTTCAATACTACTTTATTAATAAGTATTGTATAGAGCAGTATTCTACAATGCAATATAAATGGAATCAAAATAATCAACAAATGACATAACCCGAACATAAGCCAGTGATGGAAAAGGCTGAGGAATGTGTGGGTGAATGATGATGAAGGGTAAAGATAGCTGGATCTCTATGACCTGGTACAAGAGCAATGCGAACTGTGCTGGACATGCCTGACTCCAGCAGTCTAGCTCTATGTATGGTAGTGAAAAATGGGCCCTCTGTGTTTGTGGTCTGTATGCTCATGGGCCTATTTGATGAGGAGGACAGGGACTTATGCTTCAGTTTATTTTTGAGGAGTTCATTAGCTGATTTATAAATGTTTATGTTTTCTGCTGTGTATTGTGAAATTTGCAGCCCACTTCTACATAAACCTGGCACACGCCATAGAATAGTCAGATTAAGAAGTGAAATAACTCAGCTCCGTTGAAGGATGCCGAGGGACATTCCAAAGCCAGAGTAAAGGGAGAGAGAAATGAGTGCTAACTGCTGCAGGGCCAAGGATCGGGTGAGTATATCTGCTTTATCTTACCCCCAGGAAGTGAAGGAAAACCCCTCCAATGGGACACAGAGGCCAAAAAAAGCAGACAGGGGTTATACACTGAGTGGCCAGATTATTATGACCACCTGACGTTTGTAGGCAAATTAGCTATAATTTGGCGCTGAAGTTGCTAGAGGGCCAGACCATTATAAATAGGGAAGCAGGTTGTTTACCACGACAGTAAAAGTGATTTGTTTCTGAAGATATGGGTAAACAACGCGATTTAACAGCCTTTGAACGTGGGATGATTGTTGGCGCTCGGAGCCATGGAGCGAGTATCAGCAAAACAGCAGAATTCGTTAAATGTTCAAGAGCTGCTGTTGTTAAAGTGTTTAAAGACTGGACTGTCAGCCGAAAATCTGGGTCTGAACGTGCGAATTGTGGCCGTCAGCGACTAGTCAATGTTAGGGCAGAACGGAGAGTGGCAAGACTGGTACAAGACAACAGAAGGGCAACAGTGCAGTGTCAGATTCCTCGCATCACCTTTCAACATCTCGTGGAGTCACGAGGTGGCCCAACTAAGTCAACTCGTGGAGTCATCTCGTGGCCCAACGAAGTAATGATGGGGTGGTCATAATAATCTGGCCACTCAGTGTATACCTTCCTTATTCTATCCAAAACTAAAAAAAAAAGGTTTTGACTTCAGTTCTACTTTAAGTAACTTGGAAATAGAAAGTATCTTACCCCAAAGGAAATATATGCACCCATTACACTTCCAGCAATGGTCCCAAAGCCCCCAGTCATCACAGCGTGTATTTCAGACTTGGTCATATCAGGCAAATAGGGACGGATCAGCAGTGGTGCCTCTGTCTAGAATTGCAAAGGACAATAACATAAGGTACAACTCTTATGAAATTTATTATTTGGACAATTACTTAGCAGAGAGACATAAAGAATAAAAACAATAATTGAGTGTGTCCTCATCTAACTATCTACATGTAAAGAACAAATTGATCTTCCTTACCTGCCCAACAAATATATTGCCAGCTACACTCAGAGTTTCTGTGGCTGTTGTTCCCATTGTAACTTGCATGAGCCAAGAAATCTGTAAACGTAAATGGAGATGGAAACATGCAGAAGAAATTAGTACAACTCAGTGACTTGGTCAGATGCTAAATACTAAACAAATTCTAAGTATGAGATTATTTGCAGTTGTAATGCTAACAATTACTATGGGAAGGGGAGATCTCCACAGACTAGTACGTTTTGCTACAAATTCAGATACCCAAAATATTTCAAATTATGCTTACAATATACTCATTCACTTGTTCAAAAAAAAAAAAAAACTCTTTAGAAACGACATACCTTAAGAATGACATACTGCATTATGCCGGTAAAGTAGAGGACTGACATGACACAGCTAAAGAAGACCACAATAGGCAGGGCCTGAAAATGAAAACCCACAGTGTTATTCAGTAGGAGGAAATGGATGGTAAACAATGAGAAATTGGAGCCAAATCGGAATAATACCTACCTTATATACTTGTTACATGTTCTCATTTCATAGTATAACTTAAAATGCAATACATTTACAGTTCCATGCCATACATTTACAGTTCCATGCCATACACTCACAGTTCCATGCCATACATTTACAGTTCCATGCCATACACTTACAGTTCCATGCCATACACTTACAGTTCCATGCCATACATTTACAGTTCCATGCCATACACTTACAGTTCCATGCCATACACTTACAGTTCCATGCCATACACGTACAGTTCCATGCCATACATTTACAGTTCCATGCCATACACTTACAGTTCCATGCCATACATTTACCTTTCCATGCCATACATTTACCTTTCCATGCCGTACATTTACAGTTCCATGCCATACACTTGCAGTTCCATGCCATACATTTACAGTTCCATGCCATACACTTACAGTTCCATGCCATACATTTACAGTTCCATGCCATACACTTACAGTTCCAATGCCATACACTTACAGTTCCATGCCATACACTTACAGTTCCATGCCATACACTTACAGTTCCATGCCATACATTTACCTTTCCATGCCATACATTTACCTTTCCATGCCGTACATTTACAGTTCCATGCCATACACTTGCAGTTCCATGCCATACATTTACCTTTCCATGCCATACACTTACAGTTCCATGCCATACATTTACCTTTCCATGCCAAACATTTACAGTTCCATGCCATACATTTACAGTTCCATGCCATACATTTACAGTTAGCGTTAGCGTGTTCCTACTTCCCTCACAGCTCTGATCTACCTGCTGTATTTTCAAAACCCGTGGCGGGCTTGACGCATTGCTGCTGAGGAAATCAAGTCTGGGTTGCTCGTACACCACAGCGGCAATTGGACCTGGGACCTTGGGTCTAAGAGCTCTGCCACCCGGAGATACATCTACCTGGCTGCACTGTGCGGCGGGCCGAATGGGAGATACCCTCCGGTATCACATACGAATGAGATAACTGTCTCTGTGTATACCCAGGAACTCTGCGGAAGAAATTTCATTCTGACAAGTGATTTAAAGTTACTCCTGCAATCACTCAACAGAAACCTCCTAATGGATATGCTTTACCTCCCTGTTTATGGGTGACTGATGAGAAACTATCAGTCGGTGCGGACTGCTACAATCTGGAATCTTTGTAGATCGCTATACTGAAACATTTTACGGAGTGAGTAACCACTTTACTTACAACGATACTTTTTGTATCCGATTTTTCTTTTGAGTTGGATCCACTCACCAGTGACTGCTCGCCACCCGTGAAGGGTAATTCTATCTTTGCTACTACTTATATATGTACAGAGCTGCTGCAGGGAAGTTTTTTGAATTTTAAAGATTTTAAATGTATGTCCATGTGGTTGTGGTTTAATTTTTCTACTTTATTAAAATCTATTGTGATTACATTTATATGTGATCGATTACTTACTAGACAGTTCCACTCTGGGATTTCCTTATTGTTCAAGGGAATTATTATTTTTTAGTACATTTACATTTTACTTGCTCTTTTCTAATGGAGAAGTTTTTCTCCAAACTGAATTTTCCTATTGAATGCAAGTGGGTGAGGAGTTAATGTTTACCATAATTAACCCTGTCTGCCTACCTCCCAACTTTTTTAGATGAGAAAAAGGAAACCTTCCATCAAACCTTTCTCTCTTCATGAAAGATAGAAACTGATTGGTTACTATGGGAAATCACTCCATATTGTGTCTGCTCTAGTGCTGATAAATTCCCCTCAATGTATTTAAGCAAAAACAAATCCCCACTACCCAGGTATGTGGACCATTATGAATTTATATGCCCAGATTTTTTTTTTCAACCATTACTTTTCATTTATCCTGGCATTTTAACATTGCAAACACGATTATTAAGAGATAGAATGAAGGATTTAGTGCAGAATAATACTTTTAGTTGTTAAATAGAATATTTTCATGGATATTTGAACATCAGATCAAAAAGCGGGACAACTGTGGTTGAAAGAGGGACAGCGGGATATGGTTCAAAGTAGGAGACAGTCCTTTTATATGAGGGACAGTTATGAGGTATGCTGTTTGTATTGTGCTGGCAGATATCATTATCAGTTGTAAACTAGATTTGAACACCAAAAAACGTTCTGTGGGGACAGCCAGAGTTTCCTTTTGCTTTGAAGTTGTACAGAGAAGCTCGCCGTTTGCCCAAAAGCCTGATCAACATAAACATATAAAAAGTAAAATAAATAAACATAACAGGGGGCGTGGCCAACGCATGGAGCTGAACAGTCGCACCTGAGCAGAGCTCCCGCTACAGCCCGACAGAAATTGCCGTTTTACAACCCACATCTTCACCGAATCTTAGCCTCACTAAGCTTAGTTATGGGGAGGAAGGGCCAGCGATCATCCGGATCGAAAAAAGTGGCCTCAGATACACATAACAAACATATAGAGGGGTTGTCTCAAATTTGAATGGAAAAGTGGAAATGCCCTCTCTAGTGCCCAGCAGCTGTTGTTATAGAACATAGAAAGCTGTCATTATACAATGTAGAAGCCATGCCATCGGGCTTCCGTGGTGGTTTTGAAGACAGTGGTGTCCTGATCAGACATTGTAGCAGCATGGCAAAGAAGAACCTATTAAGACTAGAAGAGAGCTACAGATACAAGTTGTAGCTATCGAAAAGAAGGCTGATATTTCCTCCCTGAACTATGAACAGAGGTAAGATAGTGGAAAAAAGTGCTTAAACACTTGTGAGATACCGCCAGTAAACTACCGATAAAGGCGCACTAAAGTTAAACATTTTTGGTTCAGTTTGAGATGTTTAGATTTTAAAGTGGCCATAGACATGGGGCAACCATTTCCCAATCCATAAGAGAAATAAGAAGCAGCTGTTTTGGGTCATTTCAACCAGTTATCATTGTTTTCCTTAAAGATAAGTGGCGATGATGTTGTCTGCCTGTTCTTACTTCTTCCATATACCGTACATATGCTGTATATATATATATATATACTGTATATATACACATATACACATACATCCCTTGTGTGGTCACATCATGCCTGCATGCCCAACAGATCACTACCACCTAGAACCAGCGCTAATTTTGTCATTACAAACCTGAAACGCGAAAACATCTTTGATCAGTGTTTCTCCAAAAACGAATCCTGACCCAGCTGTGGTATAATTCAGGAAAATCTGCAAAAGACAAAGTGCACGTTAGTGGCATTACTTATAATCTAGTTCAAGAAATTAACCAGTTAAAGAAAATACACATTCAACAGAAGTTAACAAGTGATATAGCTCACCCGGATGAAAATAAAATGTGATGAATGAGAACCAGGGCTGTCCCTATAATGAGGCAGCCTGAGGCTGTTGTCTCTGGCGAGATCTCTTTGGTTCACGTGTGGGAGGCGCAGGCAGAGTGGCATGGCTGCTCTGTTGCACAATGTTTGCCTCTTCCTGGCCAGAGCGTCTCAGGTAGCTAAGAGCTGGGTGGAGAGATGTGAAGGGCCATACACATCTTTTCTGCACAGCTCTTAGCAACCTTAGATGCTCTGGCCGGTATCCCTCGCTGCTCACTGATGTTACTGGTTGCCAGGAGCTGAGTGGGAGGCTCTGGCCTGGCATCCTGCCCAGCTCCTGGCAATCAGTGACGTCAGCAAACTGGGCGGGACACGGGCCAGAGCCGGAGCCAGTGCTGGTGAGATGCATATCATCCAGCATACGGGGGGGAGGGGGGGATTCTTGTATGCTGGATGATATGCATCTCACCAGCACTGGCTCCCCAGCAAGCACCACGCCCCAACCTGCACCACCAGCACACCCGCCCTCCCACCTTTGGCGGCGAGATCTAGGGAACCCCTCTTGAGAACTATACTATAACAAAAATATAATTTTACCTGAATTTGTTCGCCAAGAAATTTGAAGGCCTGGTACCCTGGTTCGGTTCGAATGATAAAGATACCCAAAACAAATTCAAGTCCCAACCCCCACATTACTGCTCGCCAAGACACCTAAAAAACACAGGACATTTAGGAATACATTGCAGCAGACAGGATGACATTTTTAGACACAGTATTCTTTGTCAGTCAGCCAATCTGATATACTAGTAAATCATCTAGTTAGTAGTAGTCTGGCTGCTAATCTATCAGGTAAGTTACATAGTTACATAGTATTTGAGGTTGAATAAA